TGTGAAAATAACAACAACAACAACAACAACAACAACAACAACAACAACAACAATAACAACAACACGTGGAAAAATAATTGAAATATTTTATCCGCTCGAGATCGTTTAGAATTTAGTAATAACTATGTGATGATTTCCTTTGTGATTAACAAACTTATTTCGTTACTCTTTGCTCTACATTTTCAAGTCAATTCTTATACGAAAGAGGCGCAATCACGTAGAATGTGTAACCTCCTCTTATGAAATGACCATGTCTTACAACAGTATTTTCGGTGATTTGACGGGAAATACTTATTGCAATACAAATCACTGTTTTCAAGGATATTTTCCAGGGAACTACGGATTCTGCGAACGGCTACTAACGACTGCGGATATATACGTTTAACCGTCATAATGTGAACGCAACAAATACGAAACGGAAGATTGTAAACAAAAATATTGACGCTAAGTTCCCTCGCGTAGACAGTTGATTCGAATGCGTTCGAATAATGTATTCGTTGATAAAGCTCATTCTCTCGGTGTCTTAACGTCATTCGTTAATAAATAGTATGGAAGGAAAAAGCGAAACATGTTCGGTGAGGGTTTACAGTGATCCAAAATTAAAATACTTTATGATATGCTTGATCGATATCGTGTACTATTTTAAACTGTACTTCTAACTCGACGTAAAGGTATATATAAATATATATATGTATATGTATATACATGTATAAATTTATATAAATGTATATATATGTGCATATATATGAATATATAAATATATAAAATTGTGATGGAAATAATATGATTAGCGAGTTTAGGTCTATTTCTGCTAATTTGTAAAACTAATTACGGACATGATGAAGGTATCCGTGCACGCACACACAGTTATCATAAATTTTCCATGAAATCAAGTATTTTTAACCGTTACGTGTCGGCAATGATCCATTGAGTTCAATGAAATCGGAAATATAATAATGACCGAATATTCGAAGGAAAAAAAAAGAGTGCGTAGGGAAACGTATATGAGCCGTTCATTAGCCAAATCGGTTAATTTTGAATTATTTAAAATTTCATCGTCAAAGCGGTTGATTGATTTTTAATTTTTGATATTTAAAATAAATTCCCTTATCGGGTTTATAGTACTATGAAATAACAAAAATTTGTTTGGCAAGAAATTATAGTGATAATAATAATAAACATTACTTCAAGAATGTACAGTTTTATGCACTTCACGTGTTCGTTAGGATAATACTGCACCTGTAATAATAATGTAAAATATATTCCATAGCATTTCATTGATTTTCCATTTGAAGAGAAAATTGAAAAATTAATGTATACTATTGCTCATGCTTCTCTCTACGTTTTATTTCGTAGAGTTAACCGATTTGACAGATGAGTGGTTCATGCGATCATAGTGAAAATACATGCGAGGAAAGCATTTACAATTTACTTTTAATCGTTATAAATAACAAAATGCCTTTGTCTCATAAAACACGTTTCGATAATCTCCATATTTATAAATAACAACAAACGAAACAATACACGTGATAGAACGCTTGTGCTTTCGAAATAATTCGGAGGTGGTTAAGACTGTATAAAAACATTTTGGGGCGTACTATAATACTTTTGTCATTTTATCAGCCTTCCGAAAGTATCGGAATCTACTTCGCCAGATTTGTATCTCCAGCATGTGTTTACATTTATGTATTCATTTATATACTTAAGGTGTATAGTTTTTGATCGATGATAAATAAACTCTTTTCATTTTAAAATTCTCTGTGTCACGTGTCTTTATGAGTTCTATAAGTATCCCGACCGTATGTTTGGTAAAAAAAGATATAAACAATTATTTAAATTGATTTTTCCATGATGATACCGATGACATCAAAAGAATCGGATTTAAATTAATTGCATTTAAATTTAGCCAACTTTATCATACGTACGTAAGTTATATAAATAAAAAGAAACTGATTTGAAAAAAAATATGTACGTTTATTTATATGCTATAGTATATTCAAACGTTCTTTAAATTAACTCTCCAAATAAAATATTTTTTAGTAAAATCACTTATTCGATTAAAGGGTTGCTATTTCTGCTTTCTTTTATCGTCCATGATATCTGTGCCAGTGTATAGGTATTTATACGCATATGGGGGTTCGCAGAAAGATGTACAATGTGTTACCTATCTGTGAAACCGATCAATATTTACTTTTCCTCTCCAAACTTTCTTGAGGATGGGTATTTGTATTAAAAATTTTCAATTCTGTTAGTAAGATGCGATATTGAAGAAATTCAAAATTGAACAATAAGCGCACGAAATCGATTACGTATTCACGATGGACAGTATGCGACTACCAATGGATAACCTCTTTAATATGCTGTCAAGCTTCAGTGCGGGTCACGAAAAAGCTTTAAAACAAGGCATTTACAATGCCTTGGCATTATTTCTCTTATGCTTGATTTCAGTAGCTGGGTATGGATTGTACATTATATTGAGTCCATTCGTAAAACCTTTAATATGGGCATTATTATGTGGTTCTGCTTTATTTCCATTTAAATATTCATTAACTACTGTTGTACACTCATGGTTTGAGAAAGCAGAAAAATCTCATACACCACTGATTATAAACTTAACTCTGTTACCCTTACAAATAGTGGACAAAGTTTCTGACAATTTAGGATCATTCTTATGGAGTCGCATCAAATATATTGCTATTGCAATCTTACTAGCAGCTTCAAGTTTTGGTTTATATTATTATACACCTAATATACTAAGTTGCCTTGTTTGGAGAATATGTGTAATATTTAATTCTATCATTGGATTTTATATAACAACGTGTAACATTTATACAGTAAGTTTTCAACATGCATATTTTAAAATTTTATATGGCATAATAGCCAATGACCTTAGTAAAATACAAGTGAGCTACATATATACATATATATGCATTTATTATCTTTACAGATTTCTATTTTACTTATTGGATATTTGTCTATATTATATATTTATTGGACACCAACTAATTCAATTAATTTTCATTATGCTTCCTTTGTCGTATGGTTTTGTATTAGTTTATATGTTTCTAATATATTTGGAGCCTACCAAGTGCTCATATTTATATTATTGGGAGCATTATGCTTAATGGGATTTATTTATGAAGTAATACTTATAATGGAAAGTCAAGAATTAGAAGATAAACATATGACTTTCATGGAAGCAACAAGGTTTGCACTAACAAACAACTTAGTTGCAAGTACTCAAGATGATGTGATAGTTCCTTTAAAAACTAAACAGTCTACAGAGAATATTGGAAGCGAAACAATAATTGCAGATGCTAGCTCAAAAGATAATAACGAAGAAACTACAAGACCACTGTCTGCACCAGTAACAGCAGCTAGTGGGTATAATACAAAATTGTACAGGAAATCTATGTCATTAGATGCTGATGATGGCACAGCTGTATCAAGTCACAAATACCAGTCTGCTAGTAACAATCGTTATCTTCTAAGAAGATTGAAAACAGAATTAAAAATATCTATAGATATGGAGAACAACAAAGTTGATACAGATAAATATATGTATGGTGCATTATATGCTTGCATTGGTATGCTTTTGTGGAAACACAAGTGGATGATATGTATTTTAATAATACCAACAGTCTTCTATATTATTAAACAACTTGGTAATTATTTTGGATTATGGAAAATGCTAGCAAATCAGTATAATATTATTATACAAGTTATAATGACATGGTGCATGCAAAGGCATCAGGCTCTTTTACCAGCTAATATTAGAGGTTTATACAAAATTATAATAATAATTGATGAGAAATTGACGAAAGCTTTAAAAGCATCAGTAGATACAGTGGCAACAGCTGCTGTGATTTTTGGGCTACTCGTGTTTACTATTTGTGCATCTATTTTTATAACGATACAGGTATAGTGAATGTACTAATGAAGTATAAAAACAAAATAGTTTTCAAAAACTTTCATAAAATATGATGGTTTTATTACAGGTTTACATAGAAGGTATGCACCTTATCCAAATTACTGGAGAGATTCTCAATTCATCTTTGAATAATCCAGACATTGATTGGTTACCTGAGCAATGGGAAGATTCTGTCAGTAATGTATTATCCAATGCTTATACATATGGGCGAAGTGCTATTTCTGATGGAGTAAGATATACACATATTTTCATAATTATGAAATAATTCTTTACAGTAACTTATAATATATATTTTAGGTAAAAGGTATAGTAAAAGATTTAGACGCTACAAAAGCTGAACAAATGGAAAAGAAAGTTTTAGAACTTTGGGATACACTATATTATTGGATGATATCCAATGACAATACAGATATAGTTGGATCTAGTGTAGATGTGGCAGGCGCTTATTCAATTTGGGAGAGTTTCTCAGAAAGCTTTGGGAAGATGCCTTTACGTAAGCATTTTTATTTAAAATAAACAAATTTGAATGAAATAAAGTCTTTTTATATATCTAACATATGTTATCTTTACAGAAATATTTAATATGAGCAGCATACAAAATTTTATAAAAGAAAACATTGGACTTCTTAAGTCAGTTCTAGATTCTATTTGGAGTATAGTTAAAGGCAACATGTCTGTGATACTGACCATTTTTACAGAATTATTTTATATCGTACTTATGAGCGGTACAGCTGTTTTCAATTTTGCTCTGAGCATGGTATATAATTAAAAAAAAGCCTATTTATTTTTTAATTAATCAAATTACCCTTTCATAAAAGAAATTTTTAACATTTTCAGGTGGTGTTTTTTACAACACTTTTCTATTTACTCAGTTCTAGCAATAAGACTTACAAACCCATCGAATTGACTACGCTATTTAGCCCTATTAGCTGTCATAGGTAAGTTATAAATGTGCTATATGCGATTACCTTATAAAATGGTCATTACATGAAATTTATCTTTTATGAACAAGCAGTCTTTATGTTGAGGGGTATGTTCAATTGTAAAAGTATAATAACGTTAAAAAATAATACTTTTTGAGAAAAATGAAACCGAAAAGTGTATTGTATATCTCATATTTTTACAGATTCGCTGTGGCCTTACAAGAAGCAGTGATTGGTGTATTTGCTGCAACATTTAAACTTGCTTCCTTTTTTGGGATGTGGACGTGGTTTATACATAACATGTTTCAAGTGAAGATTGTTTACTTGCCATCCGCGTTTGCAACAATACTTGGAGCAGTACCATTTTTAGATGCGTATTTCGCTTGTATCCCGGCTACTTTGGAACTGTGGTTTACTCGAGGATATATGGTTGCTATCCTATTTTTCATGTTCCATTTTCTTCCATGCAATATAGTAGTAACAGAATTTTACAAGGAAATTAAGGGGTATGATAATTGTACAAATTTATATGAGAACGGTCTTATATTAGAAATATTATTTTTCAAGATAATTTTTATTTCATAAAATGAAATGTCTTTATTGCAGTGGTGGACATCCTTACCTTACAGGTCTTTCAATAGCTGGTGGAGTCTTTTGTTTGGGAGTAGAAGGCGCAATATTTGGGCCATTACTGTTATGTTGCATTATGGTAGCAATTAATTTGAGTCGTCGTTATCTTCACTCACCTTCGGAAGAAACTATACCAGAGTATTCTGAAATTAAACACTAACTTAAGGGAAATAAGTAGTTATTAATAATTTTGGAGGAGTAATCTACAATTCTTTAAACTAATAGAGAATTTCAAATTTAATAGATAAATTGTTAAAAATATAATATACGTTAAATGATGATAATTCATAAATACATTACAAACGTTTATAATATAAAAAACGTTTAACTGAGTTTAACTCAAAAACTAAACTTAAATCTTGTATAATATTTCAATGTTTTTATGGTATTCTAAAAAATAATAAGCTTCTTCATAAGAATCTCTTTAAAAAAAGTAAAACGAATTTCAGAGATCGGTGTCTTTATCTGATCGTTGAACAAGTTCGCTTAAAAATTGCCTTACTCGTAGTTTAATTATTATGTACTAGTTTTTTATTATTAACAATTTGCTTTAAGGAAGTTACAATGTACAATAAAAAGTCCAGCTTACGCTTATTAATATTAAAAGTATATTAAAAGTATATTAAAGTATATTATTATATCAATTGACTGAAGTAGTAATCTGTAGATTTTTTAAATTACAGTTGAAGAGCAATTTAACAGAGAAACTCATTTTGTTACAAGTCTAACTGTGTTAAATACATACATAGCTATAATATAATACATATATACAGGAGGGTGTCCCAAACTTAAAAACCAAACTGTGAAGACTCTAATTTACAGCCGAAAACAAAGAAAAACTATCTTCTTTTGCCTATAGATTAAATTTTTTAAATTTGGGACACACTGTATACTCAAAAATGTATTCATATATTATGTATATATTTATTAAATTAGATAGGAAGTGCATGAATATATCTTTAGTTTTATGTTTTGTGTAACGTCCTAACTTCAGTATTATTAATATTATATTTTTAATTAAAACAAATTTTTAATGTAACTGTAGAACAATTAATAAATTTAATATGAGATTATTTTGAAATTAGGAGATAAATTTATAAATTCACAGCATGTTCAGCTTATATACATGGTACTTGATAATTAGTATAATGTTAACGATATTCGTAATTCTTGTTGCGTTTGAACTTTATTTACACCGTGATCAATATTTTTTATAATGGAGCACATAAAATGTAATTAATTCGCATTAAGTACTAATATATTGCAATATTAAACAATAAATTTAGTAGGATTTATTAATATACAATCTATTTCTTTAGATTATAAATATCAGAAAGTGTGGTAATCTTTAAAATCTCCTTAATTGTTTGTGGTGTAATCGTTTCACACGCATGGAAAACAATCTTTTTTCTTCTTTCAAACATGTGGAAGCCATTTTCCGAAAAGTGGCCACAAATATCAGCTGCTTCCAACCATACGAAAAGTGCTGTATTATTTGTTGTTAATTCGAATTCCATGGTTGGATATTTGGACTGCACTCCAGGTATATGTAACTCATTTATTTTTATCTAAAAGGTATGGAATTGAGTAACAGTATCTATCATTTACTTATATTTACAGATTTATGTATCTACTCACGGAAATATCTACAGGTTGAAGAGTAACAGTTTTAAACCCATTACTTGGATATATATAATTTCTGGGTGCTATCTGTGATCCAGTTTTATCTCTTAAGGTAAGTGTTATAATATAATTTGTTTCTGATGTGGAATTTAGGAATTGTTTGAACAAGTTATTATCAATTTTGGTTGCTGCATTTGATTTCTAAAACAATATTTGTGAATTTTTTATATAAATGCATTCATCTTCTTTCATACAACATAGTTTCTAATACACATATACTTACTATAGTTAAATTGTGAAAAGTATATGATTGTACAGGTGTCATGGTATTCCATGTATAAAAATTGACTTCCAGAGTAGTATTAATTATTGGATATAATTTATCAGAAACAATATAAAGTGGAGAATTAGTCTCTTGAATATAATATGTGACTATAATAGGAGCAAAGAAGTCTACAGCATAATAATGAAGCATTTTCCATCGTCCATAGAAATCTAAAAAAAAGAAGGAAATAAAGTGAATGATATTAAAGTAAATTTAAATATTTTCTTTCTCTGTTCAATTACCTATAGAAGACCATGATGGAGCTTGCCAAACATCATTTAATTGCCAATATAATGCCCCCATTGTCATCCCTTCACCTACTTCATTTAATTCAGACATTGACTGTCGGTAAAATTCCGTCTGTATCTTTATAGAAACGGCTTGATTAATTTGACTTAAATATATGAAATTTGAGAAGTCTTTTACTCTATTTCCAGTTTCGGGTATCTTAAAATTCTTTAAAATAAGATCTCTCATATACAGTGTTCCTAATGGTAAATGTTGACGATGTTTCATGAAATTACTATTTATGTTTAAATCCACAATTGTTTCTGTAACTGGAATTATGGTATAAATTGATGGTAGTGATTGAAAACCATACTCAGATGCAAATCTCGTAAGAGGATATTGATGCATATCCCATCCATTATTAAAGTAGTTATAGTAATGAACTAAAAATAATACCTTATTAGATTAACACATTAAATTAATATTTCAATTATAAGGAAATATATTTTACCATCTCCATATAACTTTGAATATGGATTCTCTCCAATATAATTATACTTTTCTGTATGTAATCCATTACTAGGGCTAGATACTACAAAAGGTCGAGTAGAATCCAGTTGCTCTACTTCCTGTTTTATTAAATCTACGTAAAGCTTAATATAATCAGTTTTATATATTCGCGAAATTCCTGTCCCGTACCAGTCTCCGTACAAAGCTGCTTCATTCTCATTGTTACCAGCCCAGAGGACAATGCTAGGATGATTTTTTAATCTCTGTACATTTTGAACAACCTCGTCCTTGACGGAATCAAGAAATTTTTCTGTAGTTGGATACATTCCACATGCAAACATAAAGTCTTGCCAAATCATGATTCCATATTCATCAGCCAACTTATAAAACAAATCCGATTCGTACAGACCACCACCCCAAACTCTAAGCATATTCATATTTGCTACTTTCGCTGATTTTAATAAATGTTTAACCGTGTCCACTTTATTGCTTAATTCCGGAAAAATACTAGCTGGAATGTAATTACTGCCCTTTGCAAATATTGGAATGCCATTTATTTGAAAGTAGAAACTCAATCCTCGTTTAAGAGGTTTTTGTACAAGTTCTACTGTCCTGAAGCCAATGCGCACTGATTTCTTTTTTATAACATTATCCGTTGCTGCAGTTGTTGTTAATGTGTAGAGAGTTTGATTGCCATAACCATTTGGCCACCATTTATCTATTAGTTCCTATTATAAGAAATTCTGTATTAATGGCATACTTTAATTACTTATACATATAGTAAACTAATATCATTAACATACCACAGGTACTTTAAGGGAGATAATTGTTTCTATTGATGAATTATTTGCATTTAAAATAATAGTACTAGAATTATCAATATTTGTCTGTTCATTAACATGAAGAACAGATGAAATTTGGCAAGATAAAGAGGAATTATTTTGCTGTTTTGTAACTTCAAGGTATATTGTCACATTGATATTCCAAAAATTTTCTTCTTGAAGAACATCTGTTGTAATATATTTAATAAAGATATCATTTATAGGGATTAGCTCCACACTTTTCCTGAAATATTTTCATATTAACATATTTGATAGCCGCTGTCACATTGACGTGATTTTGCTCTGCTGCTTGTTATCGGCCGCCGTTATGCACGTGTTTTGTTTTTATTCATTATGTATTAATTGCAACAATTGTTAAATACATTTTTTCATCTTTTCTGCTTTTATTGCTTGCAAACAGTATCAACAATAGTCAGTAAGACCCATGCAAAAGACACTGGCAACAAGTAACAGTCAATGAGCGAAATATGCAACCATTGAAATGCTAATATATATATATATATGTTCAATTATGAAACAGATGTAATAGAGAAGGAATGTAATACCAAATTCCCATGGAAGGGAAAGCTGGACCCCAATCCCATGAAAAGCTTGCTTGCATTTTTCTTATGTGATTAACGTGACATTCTCCATTATAAGTATTTGGTACACATACTGGAGGAACAATATACTTCAGGGCTTGTGCGTTATACAAAGTTTCAGCTTCCTTAACAGCAGAATCAAAAGAAACTGAAAGTAAGTTTTCTCCTTTCTAGAAAATGAATATTCATTATTTACTAGTATTTGTGTTTCACAATAAAATGTACTTCTTACTTTAAGATAATTTGTCACATCGAATGTATATTCTATGAACATATTCGATGTTCTTCCTATTTCCTGAGCATTTATCAAGATTGTGGCGAATGTATCCAAACCATGAAATATTAACATTACTTTGGGAGCACTCAGTAAAGTTTTATTTACTACAAAATACCAATTTTATATAATTTTTTGAGAGACTGCATGAAAACATAATGATATGTTTAATTACCATTAAATCTTTTAGTATAGGTAACTGATCGATTACCAACCCATCGGTTGCTCAAGTCATTATTTCCAATAAAATTATCTGGTATAATATTTGCTGTATACAGATCTGTATAAATTCCTCCTGGTACAATTGCAGGAAATAGAATTTCTATAAAATGATTACATGACAGTTTTTTATTTGTTATATTGAAATAATATGTATAAACTAAATACTTACCATGTTGAGATTGATCTGCATTGATTTTACCTAAATAAAAAATGTAATATGTGTATACATCTGTATTACATGTTCAAATTAAAATTATTATAAAAATATTTAGCTTTAAATATCTCATAATACCTAACCATGGCCCATCTAAAGTTATGGATGAAACAGTGCCGGCAATTAAAAATAAACTTATAAAAAGTTGGAAACTTTTCATGTTTATATTCAAGATAATATATTTATTCTCTTGATAATACAGTGTAAATATAAATATTAAATTACAATTTATAAAACTGTCACATCAGTAGATCACTAATACTAGGTTGTCCTATATGCTTCTTTCACGTTTTGCCCACAATGTTGAGTTTGGCAAAAGTTTTGATAAGATGGCATTATAAAGCTTCCAGTGAGATAAAGGAATATAGATCAAAATAGATCACAGGTATATAAGTATTTACTTAATTACATAATTCGATAATAACAGAAATGTTAACTTTTCCTTCAATAATTGACCGTTGACCAGGTAAACCTCCATTACTTATTGCACAAGTTGCACGAATTCCACTCTAAACAACCCTCCTACCATGAACAGCTCAGATATTATTATGTAGTACATATTCAAATTTTTGTACAAGTATATTTGTAGTGGTAATTAACCGGCTCATAGTGGCGCTCGTGCAGCAACTGAAGGAGAGGAAATAAATAGATGTAGAGGGGGCCTTATCTCTTTGCTAAAGGCCGGCTGTGCATTCATTATATATCAACAAAATAAAAGAAACATATGAGAAAATTTAATATAATAAAATACAAGTCTGTTGTGGTCAGACTCATATTATCAGAAAATAGGAATGATGAGATAATATATGCAAATGTAGCATTTTATTTAAAAACAAGAACATTTATTTGTATAAAAATACATTCTATTATATAGTACAAATTTGAGACTTATAAAAATTGAAGTTAAATGCTCAACACAATTTTACGTTTTCTTTTGTAAACGTATATTGCGAACCTTTTTAATAGAAACTTGTGCACTACTGTGCACATACAATAATTAATTTTCATTGTGCAGAGAACATAGGAAAATACGAAGATGTTTAATTTACCAAAAATTCATTAATTTGTGTTTCAGTTTTTTTATAATTTCTTATGTAAAATCAGTAAAGGTACTTTAATTTTAATTCGAAATAATCAATTCTTATTTTAACAACACATAACAGCATATTGTGTATGAAACGTTAAATAAATATGAAAAGTATTAAATCGCATTTACGTTTTGCATTTCCTATGCATTGATTTTGTATAAAAGAGCTTAGAATTTACGCTTTCACCTTATTCATATAACAGAATAATATAACAATACCATACAAGCACTGTTGTATTCTGTATATGAATGTATAAATACATATTTACATTTTCTGTCAATTTTTAGACAGAAATATCTGCTTAATGTTTCCTCTTTTTACTGGAATGTATTTGTGTTCTGCTATTTGATGAAAACTGTTTTCTATAATCTATTTCAGAATCTGTTTGTTCACTAATCGGTTTGTAACAACGAACAGGTGAGTGAAGAATATTATCAATTTCAGTATTTGTATATTCTGAAAAGAATTAATATGAATCAATGAATAGTTTACAAATTTGTCATAATTTCAATTTAAGGAAGTATAACTTTTTGTTTTTATGAAAATTCTTACCAGAAATCGATTCCTCTTGGTGTTGTTTCTGCAAGCAATTATTAATATGTTGTTCGTAATTTGCATCATTAGTTGTCCTGTATTTTAGACATACACCACATTCAAGAATTTCTTCACTGTTAGCATTTAATGATACAATCCTATTCTGCATCAAATTAGCATTATTTTCATCTTCATTATCAGTTATGTATTGTTCACATCCAGCTGCATGTGTTTCTATTTTATCACTTGGGAAACATTTATTACAAATGGGACAATTTACATAATTTGATATATTATCCTTCATACTATCCATTCTTTTAGTTATTAACATGTTGTCCTATAAAAATCACAATATAAAATATATGTAAGTTAATCCTATATTTTACATAAAAAATATTATTAAGAAAAACCGTTAACAAATTTTTACCTGACATAATGTTTCATTTTCATTTTGTTCACGTAACCCACGTATTTTTTCTCTACATTCTTCACCAACTTTTTTGTGAGATTTCGCGTTAATTACACTTTTCCACTTTTTACTCTTGTCTTCCCTAGACTTTTCTTTTTCTTCTTTTTGTTTTTCCTTTTGTTTTTTATCTTCCAGTTGTTTTTTATAAAATTCTTCTCTTTTTCGTTTCTCTTCATCCTCTTTTTTTTGAGCTTTTTCCTTTTCAATTAGCAGCTTCTTCTGTTTTTCCATTTGAATTCTTTCTAAAATCATACACTCATTTTTTATTCTATGTGAAAGACCTCTTGTTGGTAAAGGTTTGATTTCTGTATTTTCTGAAGATACTTTAATATTATTTATAGTATCATCTTTTTCTAATTCTAAAAGAATTTCTTCATTTGTAAGAATATTATCTTTTTGTTTAAAGTTTAAATTTGTAGTATTTTGTTCTTCTGTAGTATCATGTGCAGATAAAGTACTGACAAGAAGACTAATATTGTGTTTTTTCTTTTTATTAATATATTTTCTAATATTTGGGGGAGTAATTTTTCTTGAATAAGAAGGAAGTAGTTCAGGTGATAAACATTGACGTTCTTTATGTTCCACTTTCAAATTTTTAGTTTTTGTAATGTTTTTGTTAATATTTTCATCGTCGAGGCATTGACTTTGTTCGCCTGCGGTAACACGTGTCTCGTTATAAGATCGTAATATTCTGTTTGATGGTTCATAAGTCTTCTTTCTCTTAATTACTTTTTCATCTTCGTCGCTAGAATTTGTTGCGTTAGAAGAAGAAACAACCAAAGTTGCTTTACGCTTATTAGGTCGTTGACTGTTATATCTGTCTGTACATTCCATTTGGTTTTCTTCTGTTCTACTGTTTGTCAATGATTTTGTATCCAAACTACTTTTAGTAACTCCCACCTACAGAAACGTTGAAGAAGGATTAGAATTGCATTAGACAGAATAAAGTGGACAACTATTCACTTTTTTACAGAAATAATATTTATTCAAAAATGGGTTTATAGCTTACAGTTTTAATTACTGTTTCTTTATAAATACTTATGTATACACATGTTTTTATAAATGCCATCTTTACAATATTTTATAAAAAACACTGATCACAAATCTTAATTGTTTTGTATAAAGAGCATATTAGTATTACTTTTCTCGAGTCAGTAAATATGTATAAAAGAAAATTCAGATCATACAAGAAACTTTGCTTAAGTATTTATAATATGTACGAATTAAATTTGATCACAAGTTTTACACTCTCTAATTGTAAAAAAACATCATTAGATACTGCTTATGCCAAAGAAATGATGTTTATGTTTATACATTTTACACTGAAGGAAAATATCAATAACCTGTATCAGATTAATTATTTAAAAAATACCAAATTTTTGGATGTAAGTTTTGCACATATTATACATAATCTTGATTATTGTATGAGAATACAATGTAACAATATTTTTCCATGGCACAATGTTGTACTGAGAACATTTCAACTTGTTATACAAATAACGAAATATTTCCTGAAATCTCTTAACGATACGATTTATAAGAAATGGAGGTACCCACCTGAATGGGTGACCCCCACTGAAACTTAGAATCAGCAGTACGATGCCAACTATGCCACAATTCTGCTGTTTGTTTCAAATGAATATTTAATGCGATTAATAGTTTTTCAAGTGATTCTGATGTTTCTGCATCTTTGCACAATTTGAATGGCATTCGATCTTGCACTATTGGTCGCTCTGGCTCTCGTAAAGGCACATCGTTTTCACTAATGCAGGAATCAAGTGGATTAATCTGCCATTGTTCCAATTTCTGACTGTTAGAATGCGAATCTATTTTTATCTCTGTATTATTTGTACTATGAGGATCCTGTAAAATGTTTTTTTCTTTTAAGGAAACACATCTGTTTAGACTGTGAGAATAAGTGTCTCTCATATTTAGATTATCATGTAATCTGTCGAATATGTCATCATTGTCTAAAGCTTTGTTTTTATAGAGATAATTCCTTGAATCAGTATTTGATGATACATGTCCAGCATGTTCAGGACTACCATGATTGTGTGATGATATTTGACCATGTATCGGTGAAATATGGTTAGATTTATGTGAATTTATCAACTTGGGTACATCATTATCTTCCTGTATTTCCAATTCTTGCATTAGGTTTGATTTGAGCATAAGTTCTGAGGTACCCTCATTAGAAGTATGTGATAATTCCTAAAAATTGTAATTATGAAATATGTATATAATAAAATACACCTATTATTAATAAATGTAAATAAATTTCAATTATTAATATATTAACTTTTTGTGCATTTTTTTCATCATTCATCTTCACATTTGCCATATCCTTGGATTCGTTAATAAAACCCAAAATTTGTTTCATTTCTTTGTATGTATACCATGATTCATACATTTTCATATCTGTAAAATAAATCATTTTTAATATCATTCAATTTTTACATGGAAATACTTATTCATAAAATAAATTTCAATTGCGTTTTAAGCAAAAGGTACCACTTATTAATATATTTTACAAAATCTTGATAAAATTATGTGGTATATGATTGAAACAAATTCCAAGGTTAATTGTATTAAAAGAACACTTAATTACCGAGTAGTTCTCGTTTCATTTCCTCCTCTTCTTTTTCTTTAGCTGCCAACATTTCTGGTTTATCTTGCTCCATACTGTTTGACATCTTTCCTTCTTAATTTCGTTTGTTTAAAATAGTAAATGTTAATAAATCGTTTTATACACGATGAAACGTAATTTAAGTTTAAGGTTTCTATGTGTTTGTAGATTAAAGTTTTTCCACATCACTGTTTAATTGTAGTTTCAAAAGACATATATATGTATATATATATAGATATATGCATTGAAACGTCTAAAACATAAATTTATCGAAAGGTGCATACCATATTAATATTATCTGAAATTAACTTTGAGCATAATCATCATTGCATTGCGTATCAGTTCTTTCATTTGAGAAGAAACCTATACATCTAAAAAGTAATATTGAAAAACCATGCAAAGTACAATCAAATATCTATTCCAACTATTTCAAATTATTTATTGAATACTTCTAATATATTATTACATAATTATAATGATTAATTGTAATATGTTTAACTAATATTTAATTTTTTTTAATATATAATAACAGTGCATTAAAACATACCTGTGGTGTCATCTGCGGTAATTGTCCAATGTATTAAATTCATTTATCGGTAGATGACACTGTCATTCTATTGGTCTACGTATAATTTTTTATTTTCAACAATATTTATTGTAGGTTTTTAACGCGTTTAGATGTTACGTATTACTATAAGATTACATCTATAAAAACATGTTCCATATTATATGAAACAATATTACTAATTAAGAATTAATAAATTAATGAATTAATATCTGCAGAATATTGTAAAAAATAGTATATACCTATAAAATAGATAGCAATTAAGAGTGTCATTCTAAATTTTATATGCTGTATACATGTATTGAAGTTTGTTGGATTAAGTACTCGTGATTCTTGAGACTCCAGTACATGTATGTATTTTCATCATAATCGGATTTGTAAAACACAAAAATATTATTTAATTATAAGTTTGCTCTTATATTGAAGTACAGTAAATGTAACACATGTATGTGCAATTATTTATTCGCAATTCTAGATGGAGTAAATATGGCTGCTTCCATGATTAAGTTATATACACAATTTACGTAAGTTAAACTTTTAATATAAACTGTAAATGTTTATATATTTTAATTGCACGGTACATCTACAGAATTATATATTTGTGTAAATCAGTAAGTTGTCTAAGTACAAGCTTAATTGCATTTTGTTGTAAACATAACCTAACTTTGTAGTAAATATTCAAACGATCATTACAAACATTAATTATGAAGTATGTCATGTATATAAGTTCTACAATAATTTTTTCTCCAAAAATAGTACATCTGTGAGACAATTAATAAATGAAATATAATTCATAATAAATCAGATTAAGTTTTGTATAAACATTTTAGTCCATTGAAGCAATTGTTCATACCTGTGTGGTATGAATTATCTACTCAGCACCAACATTACCATACTACATCAGTATATTATAAAAAGGTACCTAGAAATGTACGGTATTAGTCCATATTTTTAATTATTCATTTAATAACTATTGATATTTATATAAAGTAAAATATAATATATTATTTGTAGGCGATAAAACTAACAAACGAAAATATTGAAAATTATGTATTCAATGCAAAGAATACAAAGAAACGTGCTCCTACGATAGAAGTATGGAAAAATATAACAATAAAAGAATTAGCAACTTCCTGCAAAAGAAATACGAATGATATAATTGATGTTCTTTATATAATGGGTTGGAGCAACAATTGCACACCAAATACAGTTTTAAATGATGTACATTTAGTAACTAGTATCGTAAAAAAATTAGGTGGTGTACCTAAAAGAATAAATCTAACACAGAACAGCCCAAAAGAAGAAAAATATGAAAATATTATTAGAAGGTAATGTAAAGCTAATATTTTTGTACTATTAATATATATTTTTTTTATTGTACTAACAAATTCTATGCAGTCCTCCACCTGATGAATCTGTACTAGTAAAACGACATCCAATAGTAACAATCATGGGACATGTTGATCATGGGAAGACTACTTTGTTGGATTCTTTACGTAATACATCAGTTGTAAATACAGAGTTTGGTGGTATTACGCAACATATAGGTGCCTTTGATGGTAAGCATAATTACTTGTTATAAAGTTGTGTATACCAAAGATTGATATGATATTTTTAGTAAAATTAAAGTCTGGGGATCGAGTAACATTTTTGGATACTCCTGGTCATGCTGCCTTTTCTGCTATGCGCTACAGAGGTGCACATGTAACAGATATTGTAGTATTAGTAGTAGCAGCTGATGATGGAGTTAAAGAACAAACTCTACAAAGTATACAAATGGCAAAAGATGCAGGTGTTCCAGTTATTGTAGCTATTAACAAAATTGACAAAGCCAATGCCGACATTGTAAGTTGCCTTTGAGGTAAAATTATATTAAACAAATCAAATCTATTTTTGCAAACTGGGCATTTGTCATTTCTATTTTAGAAACGAACGCAACTAATGCTTGCAGAAAATAATATAGTAGTCGAAGACCTTGGTGGAGATGTGCAATGTGTTAACATCTCAGCTTTAAAGGGAACCAATTTAGAAAATTTAACAGAAGCTATAGTCTTACAAGCTGAATTAATGGATTTGAAAGGAGACCCTGTTGGATTAGTGGAGGGTGTTGCTATTGAATGTACTAATAACATAGGGCGAGGAATGTTGGTAACAGCTTTAATTAAACGTGGAACTTTAAAGAAAGGTTGTTTGTTAGGTAAGAAGCAATCATGTTAGAATTGTAATGACGTACAATTTGTTGACATACTTTAATTAAGTTTGTTATTTCTAATAGTGTCAGGAATGGCATGGGCCAAAGTAAGAGCAATGTTTAATGAAAATGGTACTTTGGTTTCGGAAGCAAAACCATCAGAAGCAGTACAAATTATTGGATGGAAAGCACTACCTCCAGTTGGAGGTGAAATATTGCAAGCAGTAAATGAGAGAGAGTTGAAATTAGCTTTAAAATTTAGACAAACTCAGTATAATACAAATTTATCTAAGGTACACGAAGAGGGTGCTTCTAAGAAGTACGAAGACCATCTGAAGGTATTATTATATGTATATTAAATCTAATGGAAAATTTTGTCCTCTTTCTAACACCCAGAAAACTGATAGCAAATGACTATGAAACTATTTTATCTTCTTTTCTTTGATTTATACATTACATAAAATTCTAACTTTGAAAATTCAGTGATTAGTTTACCAGTAGTGATAATATAAGAAATGTGTCTGTAAAAATTAATTTATACAAATATCATTAAAAAACTATTGGGAAGGTGGCAATGAATTTTAAACACTAAAAGAAATCGTATCTTAAAGCAATAAAGTAATAAATATCTTTCTTGTCTAACTGTGTTTTCAAAATTCAATTATACATGATTCTTACTGACAGGAATATAAACGATACATAGCAATAAGAACGGAAGTTGGAAAGATGCACCCTACAGTGCGCGAAATGAAACAGGATTTACAAAGAAAACAATGGAATGAAGTCGAAAAAGATTTAAAAGTCAATTGTATTATAAAAGGTGATGTTTCTGGAAGCGTGGAAGCAATATTGAATACCTTTGATGCATATTCAGAGGACAATCAATGTAAATTAAATGTTGTTCATTATGGAGTGGGAGCTGTCACTAAGACAGATTTAGAATTAGCAAATGTATTTAATGGTAAATATTATTTAAGTAATAGACATATTGTTTTGGATATTAATACAATGAAGTATAACAATCTACAGTCTAATTTATTTTATATGTTTAGTTGTTATCTATTTCAAATTAGGATATTATTAATGTTTTATACAAGTAGAAATATGTTGAATTAGTTGTTTCTGTGATACATTACTAAATACTCTTATGCCTACCTAATAATCATTTATTTTCTATAATTTGTATACTTTCAGCAATTATTTATCGTTTCAATGTGGATTTACCACATAGCATAAAAGAAGAAGCAGATAAGAAAAAGATAGACATTCGGCAGCATAACGTGATATATAAACTTGTAGATAATCTTAAAGAAGAAATCCATAATAGATTACCTATCGTTGATATCGAAGAAATAATAGGTATTGTTAATATCTGTATAAAATATAAGAATTTGTGTCCATTTGCAAAACATAATTTTCTTGTTTCTTTCTTTAAACATAGGCGAAGCAACCGTGCTACAACAATTCGAGATTAACGAAAAGAATAAAAAAGTAAAAGTTGCTGGTTGTCGTTGTACAAAAGGTGTTCTGAAAAGCTCGGAAATGTACCATTTAATTAGGGATAACGAAACTGTATATAAAGGTAAATAATGTAACATAATGTAATATTAGATTATTCGGAGTTAACTACGAATATGAATGTAATTATATCAATACTTAAGACGATGTTTCAATACATAATATTTAATGAGAGGATAGTGCAGTTAATTTGTAGACAATTAATATTAATATGTAGGAAGAATTGACACTATGGTTTTTGCTATTGATATTCTTTAAGCTAGACAGTATTTCGTTTTCTCAAATGAAGAAGAAAAAAAGACAGTATCAATTGTTTCATCTTTATTGTTTGCTTCTCTTAATTTCTCGATGTACATTAAAATAATAATACTTGTATAGTACGTGTATCAGTCAAGTGTCGAATAATATGTAAATACTTTTTTTTGCAGGAAAATTAGTGTCAATGAGACACTTGAAAGACGAGGTGTCGAAAATAGAAATGAACGTCGAGTGCGGCCTTAGATTCGATGATCCGACTGTGTCATTCCAACCTGGAGATACTATAGTCTGTGTCACATTACAGAAAAAGCGTCCGAAAGTCATGTGGGATATCGGATTCTGAATCGATGTTTTTGTATTTAAGTGACTACGGAACAATGCCCGTTAAATATAAAATGGAAAAAAAATCCTATCTTCTTTCTTGTACTTGGGAAATCTAAATTCGCTTGTATAAAATGCCTTTTTACAAACTGTAAGTACAAATTTCTTTATTATTGCCTTCGTGATGCAACATCATCATCATCATCGTCGCAGTTCTTACAAGTTACCAATGGAATTCCTGTCTCATTTGAAACGGCGTGTTATATCGTTTCAACATTAATTGCTCGATCATGCCCTTCTTTGTTTATCGTCAATTTCATTATAAGACGATTAGTTTCCCAATCAGATTAATCCATCGTCGCGTGTCGTTCGTTTTCAATATTCAATGGTTGTGTTACTTGGACCATTCTGGTTCGAGGGGAACAAAAAACGTATAATAGAGTCAACAGTATTAAGAGGCGTAAGTTTCTCGAAGACGACGCTGCAGATGTTGATACGCGGTCAGCACTCCGCGTTTCTTTTTTTGTAAACGACACGGCGCTGGTTCTTGATTAGGTATCGCGATTTTGGTATCCAGTGGTTCAATGGGTGTGTTGTCATCTGGATGGACGAAGAAGGCAATGGAATGACGACCTCGGCCGCAGTGTTCCGGAACAACGACGCGATGTCGAAGCGCTGGTAGCTGATTGTTCGTCCAATTCGCCAAGATGTCGCCGGTGTTCACCAAAATGGCACCCGGAAGATGGCCGACACGTCCCCACCGTTCTCCATGTGGAGTTTGTATCTCCAGACCTCCTTCGCAGTCCTGTGAACAACATGAAAATATTCGTTAATAACGATCAACCTAAGTCTCCTTAACACTAGATTTACGGATATTTATGGTACAGTTTATTCTACTGTTCCCAGAAACATTGACGTTCGTCCGTTTAGATCTAAATCAAATGTTTAAAAATGATTAGGAACCATAATCACGTGATTGAGTCAATCAAAATCGACCCAAACATTTACCAAATGATGTTTATAAAATTCAATGGGTCAAATTGGCTCGTAAATCTAGTGGTAATTTATATCATGAATTTAATATGGAAAACCAAACATTAGTCAAATTTTAATGGTACACAATATACAAAATTAACGACATAGTATGACAATAAAATGGATGTATACAATAATAATCATTGATAAGCTTATGTAACAGAAAAATGGTCATTAATCAAACAGATTATTAACCCTTTGCACTCGAGAGGTGACCCTCATTCACCACTTGATTTCGTAGAGTAAAACTATGAAATTTGATATTTAATATTATACTTCGTATAATGCATCAATCTGAGAAATACTGAGATAAAACAGCTTTGTTCCTCGATGTACGTGTGATTTCTCGTCGAGTTGGTTTCACAAAATATCGTCTTTATCTCATTAGAGAATGTGAAAATATTTCTAGTGAAAAAGTCCCGAGTGCAAAGGATAGTTTATGTAATCTCCGATTCTTGTCAAGATAGCGAATTTCTTCCTGAGTCACTGAGATCTGTACAAAAGCTTAGGACAGAAACGTATCTTACTTCTACAAATGCCAATAGGAAATCGTCGTGTCGTTTGTATGAAGTTTAGCAAATAGTTCAGTACCTGTGCTAGTAAGGTGAGAGTCCCATAATCGCAATGGGCGCCGCAACGAGCCAGTCCTGGCGCCGGTGCACCAAGGGGCGGATAGTAAAGTAGACGAAGGATGGACTCGTTACCAGATTCCAGCATTCGCGAGTGCTTCGAGAGCAAGAAGTCAGGTGATTGCTCTAGGCCCACGGCCAGAGCCTATAAGGCATACATCACATACATTGGCCCCTATTTTTACTTTATATATTCCGCGGTGGTATAATGACGGCTGTAAAGCAACCGGAGAAACCAATCGCGTTAGTTCGTTCGTCGGGCAGATCGGCCTGCTGCGTTACTTACAGTTAGGGCTGCCTGCGTTATTAAACCAACGCGTCTAGAGCCTCGGCAACGAAACGGAGCGGTTTTAAAAAAGGAAAAGAAAGAAACGAACGAAGACAGGCACGCTTAAATGGTGCATTGAAACATTCAGATGTCGCGTTAGATTTTACACCGTGCCTTTATAACGTAACAGAAAGTGTGAGTCGGTTTCACTGATTATTCAGTTGGTCCCGCACTTCGGATCTGTTGCGCTATTTGGACAAAGGAAATTCATGCGTGCGTGGGATGCTAATTTAAAACGGATTCTCGATTTCTGAATTTCTTGATCTTCAGCTGGTCGACGCATAAGCCAGAGGGTCTCGAATATTAATTGCATAATAACAGAATAATTATAAATTTCTGAATCTCTCGACTTTGAGCTGGTCGACGCGCAAGCCGGAGGGTCTCGAATATTAATTGCATAATAACAGAATAATTATAAATTTCTGAATCTCTCGACTTCGAGCTGAACGCGAAAGCCATACGATCTCGAATATTAACCCTTTCCCGACGAAGATTCTTCGAAACACACGAAACCATCAACGAAGCTAAATTACATATCAATTGCTTAATTAATAGAAAGAAAGGGGACCGCGTTCTGATCTCTTGCTGTTCGACGAATAACATCATCCGTTCGCGAGTTAGTCTTCCAAATACGAGCATTTCATCCTATCGAAATGCTGACATCCGCCCGCAAAGGGTTAATTGCATAATAACGGGACAGACTAATTATAAAAGACTGGCTGTTGCCTCGACCGCTTGTCGCAGAAGATGGCCGATGAAAGCGATCAATTTCTCGCGGTCACAGAGCTGTTATTCAAAAGCGAAGTGCATTACAGTTAAGAGCATGGCGGACAGCTGTTTGAAATCTCGCGCTAGTTCGTCGACGGCCAATTTGAAGCCTGGCACTTCCTCGTCCGGCAGGTTCCCGCCACTTCCGGTCACGTTGAAAACGTGTCGAGCTTCTTTCTCGTCGGTGTACCTGAAAGGATACGAGGATCGTTAAACCAGTCATCTAAAGGATACGATACCTTATCGAAAATCTCGATCTAATCGGCGAGCCGTAATCTAATCAAATTATCTTGGAGCCAGCCGCTTCATTGTACAGGGTGTTCGATTATAAATTGAAATCTCTACGTTACCCTTGTGCAATCCCTACTAATACCATTATCTCCGCTTTAGGGTATATAGACTCTTTAGCGAACATCTAGGGCTTTCGCCCGCGAAAGCCCTACTTCGACACTCGTGATCTATATTGTGGAACTCGGATAATATCGACACTTGTGAAGGCGAGGCTTTTTTGCCACATAAATGCTTAATTAATACTCAAATACTATGAGCACTCGTGGAGGCGAGTAATTATTCTTAAATTCACAACATAGATCTAACGTTCAAGAACAAATCTCGAAGGTGTTCTTCTTTCCTCCATAAAGTTATAATCGAACACCGTATAGCCGTGGCAATCGCGTGGAAATTCGTTATCTAATCGAACTGCTCAATGAATAAATAATAAGGCAAGTACTCGAATGCTCTTCTTAACGTTAATCCTAATATTCTACGCTTCTGACTCGAGTGGGTCTCATTTTTGTTAATTCATCGATAAACAATGCCTCGTCGCGAGAGAATGCCGTGGGTTTAACGCTTCAATGGCGGATCAAAATGCTCGAGAAGAACGGCGTTTTGTTAAGTGGCAATCGGTTGACACGTTGAACGCCCCGATCAGATCGAATTATTACAATTCGGTCGATTAAACGATCATTATTTGCAAATATTTTTGTATTGCAAATAATGCTATCTAATTCGGCAAGATAAACGTGCGATAATAGTAGAACGATTCAATGAAATAGTTTGATACCATTACATTGTCCTCGTTTTGCGCATTTCGCTACGTGAAATCGTGCGGCGTTCGAACGCGTTAATTTCAACGATTAAAGCTCGATCGCGGTTCGATCAGACGGTAAATTATTTACGTGGACGGTCCAGGCTTGATGTAACCATGGTTGTTGGGCGAGTTCTTCTGGTATTTGGCTCGCGTCTCCTCCGGTAGCTCGCAGAACGCGTCCAGAGCTCTGTAAGCGGCCTTCAACTGCGAACAGGGAAATTTACATCGAGCTAGAGTTTCCTCGTCGACGATCGCCACCATTGGCGTAGCGAGTGCACGATAAACCTACGTTCGCAACGGTGTTCGAACGTAGTGATTAAGTTCAACGCGTCGCGTTAATCATTAACGATTCACCATTAACACGTTCCGTGCCGCGGAAATTTCGGTTATATTTTACTTATGAACCGTATCGAATATAACTTAATATTTTATTTAAAAAATCAAGTTTTTGCTAATTTTTATATACTTTGATATTGTTTTACGTTCTCGCTACTTTGTAATGCATAACACCATCCGTGATCGTGCGTCTTTTAAAAATATTCTCCTATTGTACCAGATATGGTACACGTGGCACTGAACGTGTTAACCGTGGAATTTAGTTTTAACCCTTTGCAGACCAACATCGTTTGACCCTAATCGTACCACAACGTGACTCTCGGTCACTTATGAGAATAGAAGGAATGATTAACCCTTTGCACTCCAGAAGTTTTTTTACCGGAAATATTCAATATTTTCTAATGAGATACAGATGACATTTTCTTAGACTGAATTAACACACTATCTCTGTGTTAATTTTCTCTGTATTAATACCTTTTATGCAGAACGTACGCTAAGCGTTAGTAAAACACTTACCAATGCTTGTTCTTTTTCATTATTACTAATTTTTGGGCAGTCGTAATTTTTTAATGTCGTGTTTGTGCAGTGCATAGAAAGAAAAATTTAACTTCTTGTATGTGTAAGTTTTGTCAGATTCCCCTTCATAGGGGTGAGTGTTTTCAAAAATACCATACATTCAAAAAATATTAGAGTCAATAAAATTACTATATAAGAAACTGTATAATAAAATATTCCTAAACATTATTACACTTTTCTCTTACTATATGAACTTTTAAAACTTTCAAAAATTAACGATTATTGTTTGATACATGTTACACATTAAATGAAGTAATAGAAAACTAAATTAAAAATTGAATTTTTTTTTAAATTTCATCTACACCTTCGAAATACTATGTGATACCTAGTGATACCTAGAATTTTCCAAATTTCATTGAAATACTACTGTTAGATGTGAAGGTATTACATGTTTTCTAAAAAGTGCACTTTTTTCATACTTCACTAATTTTCGCCCGCTATACGTGTGAGTCAAGCTCACTATTTCCTTTCAATGTTTCGTATACTGATGCATTATACGAAGTTTAATATTAAATATCAGACTTTACAGTTTCTCTGTGTCAAATCATTTGGCGACTGAGAGGCGCCTCTGTAGTGCAAAGGGTATAAATGTGATTGTTTCTGTTTATAGGGCACAAATTTTAACCCTCCGCGGTCGAAGATTCTTTGAAATGTAGAAAACCTTCAACAGATGAAGCTGAATTATATACTGATTGCTCAAATACTAGCAAAAACAGAAGCTACACGTTAATCTTTTGCTGTCCGAGTAAATAAATCATTCGCCTACGACTCAGTCTTCCAAATATGAACGTTTCATCTCGAAATGTCGACGTTCGTCTGCAAAGGGTTAAAACGAAACTTTCGAAAAATTATGAAATAATCGAAAAATTTCAGTAAAAAGTTCAAATGCGAAGTCACATCGTCGTCTTGTACGTCTGTTCCACTTTCCGTTTCTCGAAAGAGAACGAGTATTTGACAAACACAAATGTTACTTTGTTATTACTTCGGGGCGAACGCAGTACACTCGGAATCATCGTTTCCCCAGTACACTGTTACTCACGAAGAAAATCGTAGAAGGGATTAACACGTTGATCGCGAGAATTCAGAGCGTTTCGTGTAACATTAATTCATAGCAAATGGTATTGAAATTAGTTATTAATAGTTCGGTATTATAGTTTTTCAGTATTAGCGAATCTTTAAACCCCGATGATGCCAGTCGCGAAATAATCCCTACTGTTCGAAACTTTGAGCAAATCATAGCTCTTAACCCCTATGATTTATTTCTTGATACAACTACTTTATCATTAATAATATCCCAGGACAACAAAGAATTTTGATGCTCGTTCCACGTCTACTCCAAAGGCTCACGATCGATAACAGAAATGTTTAACTTAGATTTAAAGAGAACACTTGGACGTCTGAAATTCAATTTACAATTTTCATCGCGAGTCAGATGCGGCATTGTATGTCAAGGGGTTGAGTTACACTATTATTTAGCTACCTATGCGACTAAACATTCCGACATCGATTCTCTTCGGGTAATTCAGACGGTACAGTCATCGGTGACCGCCGCGGCGGTCAACGTGTCAATAGATGAAAAGAAACAGTCGATTAAACGCGTACTCGAGGAGTGAATCATTATGTAATTAAGTGTTCCACGCGGTATCGGAAATATGTCACCTTGGCAGGTGACATCCTCGAACCCGCCGATAACGAGTGACGTTTCGGATTTATCGTTCGCGGCACGGTGCACGGCCGTTTTCGTTATCAACCGGCGCGGACGGATCGTTGCGAAACGACGGCGCTCGGCCGCGAAAACAAAACGAGGAACGGGGATTCACGATGCGGCTCGTCACCTCCGTTTCGTTCGCGACGATAAGGCACGACCGTCACGGGCAGATCATCGATTCCGATATTAGGGGACAGGAGGAAACGATACGAGCCGCACACCGGTCAAATCGGTTGACTCTTTGCGGACGGATGTCGGCATTTCGGTGAGACGAAATGTTCGGATTCGGAAGACTAAGTCATGGACAAACGATCTAATTAGACGAACAGCAAGGGATCAGCACGTACTTTAATGTTCTATTAATTAAGCTATTGATATATAATTTAGCTTCGTATGTTGAAGGTTTCGTATGTTTCGAAGAATCTTCGCCCGCAAAGGGTTAAACGCGAAGCAAGAAATAGAAAAGCGATCGGTGCACAATTTGAGTTTTCAAATTTAAATGGATGATACATTCTATCTTATCGATATTATTAATATTCCTTTTCCTTTTGGTTTCTTCTATATATTATAATAACAAGAATATTTGTATTAATTTCTATTAATATTTCTATAAAATAATAGTTATTATTATTTCGTAGCAAAGGCGGTAAGGAAATTTATTCGATACATAAGAAATAGTTCAATGAAGATTATCATACAGAATAACAATAATAATAATTCTATAAAAACATTCATTATTATTATTTCATGGCAAAGCTGATGATAAGGAAATTTATTCGATATGTAACAAATAGTTCAATGAAAACTATTATACAGAATAACAATAATAATAATTCTATAAAAATATTCATTATTATTATTTCGTAGCAAAGACGATAAGGAAATTTATTCGATACATAAGAAATAGTTCAATGAAGATTATCATACAGAATAACAATAATAATAATTCTATAAAAATATTCATTATTATTATTTCATGGCAAAGCTGATGATAAGGAAATTTATTCGATATGTAACAAATAGTTCAATGAAAACTATTATACAGAATAACAGTGATAGTAATATTTGTTTAATCGTCATCAACAGGCATCGTCTATATTTAATCAAAGAGTGTTGAATATTTCTAGCGAAAAGCTTTCGAGTGCAAAGGGTTAACCCTCGTTTATAAGTGCGACAGGACTTTCTGGCTAATTTAGCAGTTTCGCGTAAGAATATGAAGTATCTTGATTCGTATATGCTTTTTCTTGCCGAGTCTATTCTCGTCGGCTTAATGGACAAGACGGCCATGCTCGCATCCTCAGTTCGATCGTATTCCCAGCGTATCCGCGATCGAACGTCGAGCAAAGCGGTTCGGCGAGCCGCGCAACATGCAAAAACTGGAATCATTCCCGAGCGAGCGATCTCGTTCAGCGTTTACAAAAACGCCCCTCGATTTCCATCAGGATGGCACCGTGGAACGGGCGAAACCACGCGCGTGCCTGGAAGACGGAGATTCTTAATCTCTCGGTTTATAATATCGTGTCACCCTCGCGGTGAAGATTGCGAGCAGAGTTTAACGAACATAAATCTTCCTTGATCCTATCGAATTCAAACACATGAAACATTATTCGTCAATTATTATACTTCAGCGCAAGCTAACTTTATTACTAACTTTAACGTTTAACGAACGAGCGAAGTTCTAACTTTTAAACGTTCATTAACCCTTTGCACTTTGCAGTCGCCGTTCGATTGAACGCAGGGAAATTATACAATGAAAAATTCAATGTAACATGCTGAGTAAGGTATTAACACATGAAACAAATAAAACAACTCTGTTGAATTTATACAAGATGTTTCTTTACGTCAGTTGTATTGTTAATATTTCGCCAGGAAATAATGAAAAGAAAATTATAAAATGAAAAATTCAATATGAAATGTTGAATGAGGTATTAACACATGAAACGGAAATAAAACAACTCTGTTCAATTTGTGCAAGATATTTCTTTATGTAAGTTGCAAACAATATTGTTAATATTTCGTCAGGAAATAATGAAAAGAAAATTATAAAATGAAAAATTCAATAGAAAATGTTGAATGAGGTATTAACACATGAAACAGAAATAAAACAACTCTGTTGAATTTATACAAGATGTTTCTTTACGTCAGTTGTAAGTAATATTGTTAATATATCGTCAGAAAATAATGAATATAATGAAAAACGTTATTAACCCTTTGCACTCGAGAGGTGACTCAGTCATGACTTGATTCGATACAGCAAAGCTATGAAGTTGAATATTTAGTATTTTAAATGAAGCTTCGCGTTGCTATGTGAAATATTTAAATGAAATAGCTTTGTTAATTTATCTATCCATCATTGTTAAATTCGTTTCAAAGAATCTCGTCTATATCTCGTCGGAAGATGTTGAATATTTCCAGTGAAAAGCTTTCGATAGCAAAGATTTAATCTTTTGTACTCGAGCGGCGCCTTTCAATCGCCATTTAACTCGACCGAATAAAATAATCAAATTTAGAATTCAATATCAAATTTCATATACTGCATCGACACAAGGAACATCGAAATAATCTAGTTTTGTCGCTTAATTTACACAAGGTGTTTCTTTATATTAGTTGTAAAACATATCATTGATATTTAACACACCGGTGACCCCCGACCAAATCGAATTACTATAGTCCACTCAATGAAACGACGATTATATGAAAACATTTCTATATTATTAATAATGCTACATAATACAGTGAAATTCAACTAAATCACGTGGAATGGTAATAATGCAACTCGATCGAATTTAATATTATATTTTTTCCATTCTGCGTATTCTCCTCTGTGAAATCGTGCGGCGTTCAACGCGTTAATCAGAAAATAATGAATATCCGTTGAGAAAAATATTCTCGAGTACAAAGGGTTAATAGCTACGGTTCGTTTTCAGTCAACTGACGCCACGTCCAGCTGTACACACGCGCGAGGTGATAAAGAGCGGCGTCGTGACGTCAGTGAAAAAGTGAAGGCGGCCGTTCGAAAAAAAAATGAATCCGTTTCAAGGGGATGCCCTGCCGGCGGGAGGTGGTTAGCTAATGTCGAGTTTGCATCAGTCCAACCGTTGGATCGAGCGATTTCATTTCAACGGTTCGACTAGAAATCGGTCAATGTCTACACCATTCCAGTCTTTATCGAAAAATGCGAACACCTGTGTACACAGCGTATCACCGGCTTAAGTCACCACTTGATTGAGACATTTTAACCTTTGCCGTTGGAAATTAACGCGTCGAATGCCATAGGGGTCACCGGTGACCCTCAACCAAATCGAATTAGCGTAGTTCACTGAATTAAACAAGGATTATTTGAAAACATTTCTACATTACGAATAATGCTACCCGATGCGGTGATATTTAGCTGGATGAACGTGCAATAATAATAACAATTCAATCAGACGATTGAATACCGTATTGTCTCCATTTCACGTATTCTGCTCTATGAAGGATAATGTTGGCCTATGGTTTCTTTCTCAACTCTGATCGACGCGACTACTTTGTTATTAATAATTTATTGGAAAAAGAGAAAAATCCTAAGCATACGTTATGCCTATATTTTCTTTTAAGCGTAATAGTTGATTACAGAGGAATAATATTTATTTCGAATTCGAATGAACTGAGCAATATATATATTTGTTGAATCATGCTGAAAACATTCACAACGAGTCTCACTTGTTGTTGTAGGTTAACCCCTTGCCTTGTAATAACGCGTCAGACTCGCGATGAAGGTTGTAAACAGAGCTTAACAAATGTAAATATTAGTCAATCGTTGTGAATGCAAATGAAATATTATCCTTTTGTTATCAATTATTATAATTTGAAGCAAACACAGGCATAGGATATACTTAAAATTTGTCTCTTTTGAATAAGTTATTAATGGCGAAGCAGTTGTGTCGATCATAGTTGAAAAAGAAATCGTAAATATTGACGTAAAATAGCTTTGTCCGTCAATTCGAGTGAATTTCTCGTCGAGTTGGTTTTACGAAATATCGTCTTCATCTCATCAGAAAATGTTGAAATATTTCTAGTGAAAAACTTCCGGGTTAATAGCGAAACACGCGACAGGCGTAGTCGCGAAGGAAACGGCACGGCAAGGGGTTCATCCTTGGGAGAGCCGACGTCTGAAGCGGCCGCGTTCGCGCTATCGGCAGAAAGACGCATGCCGGGACGACATTTAAACGACTGTCGTAACCCTGGCGGCGAAATTATCTCGTGAAAATGTGACGAACCGACGGCGATAAGAGTTTTCTTCCTCGATAAGAAAGTAGGTAAGGAGGGGGGCGCGGCAAGGTCACCGGCGAGAGATTCGCGCGCGTTTTATCAGCGAACCCTTGAAAACTGGTCACGGGTATATCGTGACACTTGTGACCAAACAGCAGATTACTTTACTTGTTTATCGAACCCGTGCTCCGTCGAATCGATTCAGGAAATTTTGATGTCCTCACGCGAGCACACGTACCGCCCGTTGCACGAGAGTTGGCACTGTGGTCTCGTCGCTCGGTTTCCATCATTTTCTCATCTCACTTTCAATACTAATTTGCTATTCGCCGATAGAATTACAAGGTAACCGATCAAAACTCTAAACAAAGCGCGCGCGACAAGCAACCCTTCTTGCCTTTATATTATACCAAGTGCCATCTCTCGTGCAACGGGTAGTAATTTACTTCCAACCTTTCGTTATAACGACAGATACATCTCACTCGTGACATTCGTTCTGAAATTGCGGTCACGGTTGAGGCTTGTCGAAGAATTAACCCTTTGAACTCGAAAATTGTCTCGCTGGATATACTCTTCATTTTCTAATGAAATATCGATGGTTTTACGGGTAACATTAATATAAATAATATAGAAATCAGGGGATAGAGCTGTTCTGTTTTAACGTTTCACGGATAATTACGTTAAATGAACTTCGATATTGTACATCGAACTTGATTTCACTGTATCAAACAAAATAGCGACTGCGAGTCGCCTCTCGAGTGCAAAAGGTTGAAAGTCTCGTGTGATTATCGCAACAGATGAATCTTCGATGGATCTTCGACGGAGACACGGTAACTCTTTTATTTTCGTTCGTCTCCACTCCCTTAGATCCTGTCTTCGCGTGGTTCGTCACCTTGACTCCTTTAATTCTGGTTCGGGGCGCGACGGAGGAGGGACGCGTAATTTTGTAACGCACCCGAGGACACGCGCGAGTTCGTCGCGAGACGGCCTCGGCTCGCGACGGATCGGTAACACGATCGAACCGCGTATCGAAACCGATTCGCGCTCATCGAACGAGCTGCTCTTGCGAACGAGCCTTATCTGTTCTATTCCGTTCGTGTAACGTGAAAAATAAGAATATCATCATCTCCCAGAACTGTATCATTCATGCAACAGTTCCTGGAGACTTGAATCTATCGCTCGTTTCACTTCCTCGTGGAATATCCTTGCGATACAATCGATTCCACCCGATAATCATAAAATGGTACCTTGTAATCGATTACAGCTTGCGTTCCGATCAATCTCAACATCTCGCGCCGCGCTTTATACAATTCTGATGAGAACACGTTGCAGAAAATGCAATTTCTCAATAATCGATGAACCGTTGGACTTTTCATGAAGAGACGAAGAAAAAACGGAAAGCAGTACCGATCATCCTCGCGTGATTTCCTCGAGACTCGCGCGATCCTCCTCGTCGATCCTCCATCCGAGAGTTGATACGCGATACAATTTTACACCTTCCGTTACCTTCGAGGCGAGCCCGGTAAAACGCGAGCGGTTTATTTGCTCGATTTTTTAACGATACTTTCCTCGATGAATACGATCGGCTCGGCTCGGCGAGTTCGCCAAGGCCGCGCGCCTCGCGATCCGACGATTACACGGAACGGGTGTACCAAAGGAAATGCGTACCTTGCATTCCGGAATGCCGTGGTTGACGAGCAAGGCCAGTCCTTTCTCGGACAGCGCCCTTAACAGCTTCGAAGCCACTTGCTTCACGACACCCTTCTGGGGACATCTCTCGGTGCCTGGAAGAGGAAAACGAGACGTGAGCCAGAAGAACAGGCGGGTATAGAGCGTTCTTCGCGAGAAGAGCCGCGGAAAGACACAGAGGCGAAAGGGGTCTCTCGCTAAGGATTTTGTTTATGGCTTTGATCGATCCCTTTGCGCTCGAGAGCCGACTCTCAGTCGCCATTTGATTGAACGCAGGGAAATTGTAAATGAAAAATTCAATATGGAATGTTGAATGAGGTATTAACACATGACACAGAAATAAAACAACTCTGTTCCATGATTTATGTAAGTTGCAAACAATATTGTTAATATTTCGTCAGGAAGTAATGAAAAGAAAAATATAAATGAAAAATTCAATATAAAATGTCGAATGAGGTAGTAACACATGAAACAGAAATAAAACAACTCTGTTGAATTTATGCAAGATGTTTCTTTACGTCAGTTGCAAACAATATTGTTAATATTTCGTCAGGAAGTAATGAAAAGAAAATTATAAATAAAAAATTCAATACAAAATGTCGAATGAGGTAGTAACACATGAAACAGAAATAAAACAACTCTGTTGAATTTATGCAAGATGTTTCTTTACGTAAGTTGCAAACAATATTGTTAATATTTCGTCAGAAAATAATCAATGTTTGTAATGAAAAATATAGAGGCGACTCTCAGTCTCCATTTGATTGAACGCAACAAAATTATAATATTTCGTCAGAAAATAATGAATATTTGTAATGAAACATATTGTCGAGTGCAAAGGGTTAACGCCAAAGCTACCGAGCAGTTAAACCGACTTCACGGAATTCCTTCATAGAAACTCTAAGAATGTATCTATTCAGACTTTCATTGATTCACTGTTCAGTTTGCGTATTGCTGGATCAAATTCTTTGATAATTCCTCCGAGAAATATCTATCATCTTTTCAACCCTTTGCACTCGAATGTTTTTCACTTGAAATTTTCAATACTTTCCAGTTAGGCGGAGACAAATAGACGAATCACACATAAATTAGGGAACAAAGCTATTTTCTTTCAATGTCTCAGGCATTGATGCAGTATACAAAGTTATATGGTAACTACAAAAGTTTATAATTTTACTGTATCAAACTATCTGGGAGTCGCCTTTCGAGCGCAAAGGGTTAATCATTGTAGAAAGAAGAAATTGGGAAGGGCCGTTCTGACCCGTCCGGTAGTTTTAGCGTTAAGTGTAACATATTGGCCAATTAATATCGAAAATTAGAGAAAAGACGGAAGCTGACAAATGAGATCCACACTCGTTTCATGGCTCTTCTCGTGAACAGCGTGTAGTTATTTAAAATGAAATATATTTAGAATTAATTGATTCAATCGATGTTTATTTACTTTTATCCATTTACTGACATTTATATATTTATTAATCTCATTTGGGCAGAGTAGGGTAAAAGAGAACGCCTAATAACTCCTCGGCATAGTTTCTAATTGATTACAGACCACTGCACAAGTATCATCTACCGAAACCATTCTTGTTCCGTTTTACCCTACTCTCCTCTACTGATAGATCACTTGATAGGCAGGCTAAGGAATTCGATTGACCGATCAGTTTCACTTCTTCTCGCCCAGTTTTGTTTTATATTTCAACGCGTTCTCCGCCACGGTCGAATTCGAAATGTTATTCGTATGGTATTACACCTTTAACCCTTTCCGGACGAAGATTCCTTGAAATATACGAACCCTCAGCAGATGAAGTTAAATTACATATCGATTGCTTAATTAATAGGAAAACAGCTACGTGCTGATCTCTTGCTGTTTGAGTAATCGAATCGTTTGTTCGCAACTTACTCTTCCAAATATGGAAATTAGATCTCGCCGAAATATCGACATGCGTCCGCAAAGGGTTAAAACAAAATAGAACCAATCGAAGCATTTCACATAAATGTGATATACGTTAATATAGTCGCAGCAACGCTAATCAACAGCGTCACATGCATGCGACGCGCAGTCGCGAATGGGTTAAATGAAAATTAATATCACTGACGCGTAATTGCATGTGTAGCATCGTACTGTATCAGTGGGAATGTTATTCATCGACCAAGATTCAATGCCGTAACGATACTTATTGCTATAAGAGGAATAAAAAGCGAAACGCGGATAAGAGTACAAGAAACGGGTATCCGCATTTTCCTCCTTTTCCCGCGCGATCGGTCGTTCGATTGAAATTAATGTTACGACACTCCGTACGGCGTTTTACGCTCGTCGTATCTGCGGTGACGTGTCCTGCCCAACGACTTCACGACGATAGTACGAAGTCTCTCTCCTCCCGCCCCGAAAATCGATTATTCCATTGAGGGAACACCCATTGATTGATACGTTATCAGCCGGTCATTCCCGAGAAGGCGAAACCGTCTTTTCTCCTCTTCGGTAACGCGATCGAGGAGGGGATCGAGTACCTTTAGTCTTCTCGCGTCTCCTGTTTCGTCGATCTTCGAGTAACTCGATCGTTATCGTGCCTCGAGTCGCATGCAATGATTATTTCGGATGAAACATCTCGCGAGGCGTTCCAAGTTTTTAACGAAAGTCTTCCAAGTGAAGTTTCCTTCGAGGAGATAACCGGTCCGCGGATTTTTATGCATTCAGGGAAAATTTGGAAATACAGAACTGCACAGAAGGCAGGCGATTCGGTGAATTGTATGAAATATCCATAGTATCTTTTATTCTACAAGATTGTTCGATATTCAAACGAATAGCTTCAATTGTCAGAATGGTACAATGTTCATAAATTAGTACAGTTGCGAAATGACATTTGTACGTTGCTAAATTATACTATGCAAAAGCGATGTCGGCAAACCTATAATTTTAACCCTTTGCGGACGAACGCCGGCATCTCGGAGAGATGAAGTGTTCATATTTGGGAGACTAAGTCGCAGAGAAATGATTTAATTACTCTGACAGCAAGAGATCAGCTCGTAGTTTCCTTTTTTCCCTATTAATCGAGTAATCGATATTTAATTTAACTTCATTCGCTGAAGACTTTGTAGATTTCAAAGCATCTTCGTCCGCAAAGGGTTAAACGTACATTTAAGAGAACGTTACACTTCAATTTCAGCGCGACAATAGGAAAGGCTTGAAATTCGACAAAAGTTCTCACAGGTGAGCAGCGTCACGGTGCAAATGAGTAAATATTTGACCGGCACCGACAGTGGAACGTGATCGAACTGTGAACGACCCGGCGTGGACCGGGGACTTAGCTTTTCGCCGATGCGGCCGCTTGCTCCACCGTGGAAACTTTGCTCGGCGTAATGTTATTCAAAGTCGCGGCGGAATAATTCACCAGCTCGATTAATATGCCGAGTCTGTCGAACTTCTCGCGGCCACGTCAGGTAAACGCTCTAACCATTGTCGTTCAAGGATCCGATGAATCAAGGCGCATGCAAATTCGCCGGTGGTCGTTATCCTCGGACTGCTCCATTAAAGATTAGACGATGACCTTATCATCGAGACGCGCGCGCGAATAACAAAAAAAAAGTATGTTCCGACAGGAAGCGCGAATGTAGAGGACGCAGCCGCGTTCTCCTTGTTACTGGAAGATTTAAATCCTTTGCGAACGAGGAGTTTTTGGAATATTCGACACCTTTGGTAGAGGAAATTAAATTTTAAATTTCGAGATATTTATGATTGCATGGAGGGATGTTGAATTGACATTGAGAAATTGAATAGGGAAATATTGAATTGGATTTGAGAAATTGAATGGAGGAATATTGAATTGGAATTGCGAAGTTGAAAGGAGAAATACTGAATTGGAATTGAGAAATTGAATATAGCAATACTGAATTGAAATTGAGAAATTGAATGCAGGAATATTGAATTGAAATTGAGAAATTGAATGGAGGAATATTGAATTGAGATTCAGAAATTGAATGCAGGAATACTGAATTGAAATTGAGAAATAGAATGTAGAAACATTGAATTGAAATTGAGAAATCAAATAGAGAGAAATGTTTGAACAAAAGCGTTCCAGACCACATTCGTTATAAATTGTTTTAATCACTCCAACGTACTATACGTAAATAAGATACATTAAAGTTAAAAGGAAAAATTATCGAGAAAATGACCATATAGCAAGATATTAACACAAAAAAATTATTATTCTGATTACGAAAGATCACTGATAGAAGAAAGTTTTAACAACCTTCCCAGACAATAAGCGAGCAGTTGCTATGAAACATTATCATCGCCGATAGAATTGTTCGAGATTAATTGTCGGAGATTAATTCAAGCTGTACACAGTGACCTTCAAAAGTGTAGTCTCGACGAGTTAACCCTCCATACAATATCAGAATTCGACAAATAAGAACGATACTGAATCCTTTCAAGCCGAAATCGAATATTATTTTTCTACTATCAGTTGTAACGCTTCAGAGGAAACGTAGACGTAAAATAATCGTGAAATGTTTTTCTTCTTCCAACGAATTATGAAATGATTCTGACGAGCACGATTGTGGAAGAAATCGAACAACGATCCGCATTTGTTAATGCCTCGCGGGAATACCGATACTAAGCGGTAAAAACATCTGCGATTGCGCCAGAAGGAAAAACAATAAATCCCGAGAAAGCGAGGGATCGCAATAAAAAAGAAAAACAAATTTCGAAACTGTTCAGTACGTCTAGCCACCGCGCGATACATGATCCCGCGGGTCGATTAAACGCTTTCGATTAATGCCGGCCGTCCGATAAAGCATTAAGTTAACGATCGCCGAGACTCCACTCGTTCGCTGGCAGCTGCGAGATATCTCGTAGCCTGCGCTACAAGTTTCGATTAATTCATATTTTCCACGAAAGTCAATTTTCACCCTAAACAACTAAACTCAAATCAGTCCGACACTATAACTAAACATTCTAACTAACTAAACTTCTGTTTATTTGAAACAGAGTAGCAAAACATAAGATATATGTTATTAGTATTTAATCAAAAATTAAAAATACGTTCGAAAGTAACGTATGCAGTCTTGGCGTTAATTCAAATTCGCAAAAGTGGCGAAGGCA